AAAACCGTTTACACGAATGACAGCAGCACCCACAAGGCTATTTCTGCTCACCCTGCAGTTTTACTGCTTACAGATATTTCGATGCACAATCATTTTGTAGGTCAATGAGTTCATCCAGCAATTGATCGGGAATTTTCTCTATTACTCGGTTGAAAGATTTACGTACCAAGTTCTGGTATTTTCTATGATCTCAGGAAAACATTTGTGAAATTCAATTGAATTCAATTGAAGTACTATCCGATACTATGAAACATAAACTATTTTAAAACATGAGACTCTTCTACTATCGATTTTTTCATCGTTTACTGATGAAAGCTTCCAAACATTGCAAAGTAAATCAATTAGGGCTAGTGAACCAATTTTTGGTCCAGGAGGTTCCCTTATTGACCCCCTCTCAATGTTAAATGTTTTTCATTCTTTACCAAATTTGTTTGCATGCCAGGTTAGAACATATATTTAGTCTTTATCTACGCGAATGATATCATGATAACTTATTTCGAATTTCAGTTAGGCCCTAAGGCCAAAAACTGGAGCACTAGTGCCATAACGGATTCACTTATCCTAATTATATCTTGCATTTCCAATTCAGAAGTTTATTTGGAATCACATTTAGTGAATTCAGAAACTGTGTGACAAATGTTTGTAGATTGTTGAGCTTTTCAAATGTATCAGCTAAGTAACATTTGGTTGCTGATAAATCAAAAATTGAGCATATTTAATTGCTATATGGAATACTTTCGTGTTGAATTACGAGCCACTTACAAAAAAAAATTGGCGACCACACTTTGCTGAACATTAACGACTGAAAAAATATACTTCATTCTTTTATTTAACGTCGGTCTCTGCTCCGCATTCTAGTACCAATCACCGACGGACATCGATTGCCATCCATTGACGACAGTCGAATGTGCAGGAAGGCAGCTTCCACACCTGCGTAGGATATCGCACCCGTTCAACACACATGGGCCGGGACCAAAGGCTTTACTTCCCTTCCGAAGGAAGACGTGACCAGAGATTTTTATACCTCGAACTCGGCTGGGATTGAACCCAGACCCATTGAGGTAAGAAAGCAGTCACACTTACCACTACACCACCGGCGCCAGCAGAAAAACTATAGTCATTGGCCACATCTTGCTGGACCTTATTAATGAATCATTACAAACTGGACATGTGCCACAAATTTGGAAGGAATCCTTAGTGGTCCCTATTCAAAAAGTTGCTGGAACGATTAAAGCCGAAGAGTTTCGTCCCATCAACATGTTGCACACATTGGAGAAAATTTTAGAACTTGTTGTTAAAGGCCAGCTGTTGGAGTATTTAAATAGTAATAGTTTGTTGATACGAGTTGAATTTTGTATTAGCGAAGTGGAAAAATGACTTGGAGTGTAAAGGTACGATTTTTGCTGTTTTTTTTTGGATCTTAAACGCGCTTTTGAATCAATTTCTAGGTCCTTATTGTTAAGATCAAACAAGCGCTTTGGAATTACGAGTACTGCATATAAATGGTTTGAAAGCTATTTGTCTGACAGAACGGACTGTTTTTAATGATTCTGTTTCCAGTCCCGTGGAGTGCCCCAGGGAAGTGTATTAGGGCCCCTGTTATTTATTATGTATATTAATGACTTGCGACGTATTTTACGGTTTTGCGACATTAATCTTTTTGCAGATGATACTGTGTTATTCATTGCAGCTAAAGATTTAGATGATGCCGTCTCACACTTGAATGAAGATTTGCAGTATCTAAGTAGATGGTTGAAGTGTAAGCAGTTAAAATTGAATACAAGTAAAACTAAATTTATGGTAATTTCACGGAATCGATTAAATGAGAACGTCTCTGTTGTAATTGATGATGAGACTATTGCTCGCGTTCAGGAGATTAAATATCTTGGCGTGATTATTGATGACAAACTTAAGTTCAACTCTCACATTGACAATATCATCAAGAAAATTGCCATAGTATAGAATTCTATGTCGATTGAAAAACGATTTAACTATTGCCAGTAAAATACAGCTATACAAATCAGTCATCTATCCTCATCTAGACTTTTGCCCTTCCATTTTATTTCTGGCCAATGCAACACAAATATCGAGATTACAGCACTTGCGGAATAAAATAATGCGTTTGATTTTGAGATTCACTTCCTCAACTTTGATGCAAGTCGCTTTAAAATGGTTGTCGGTGAAGTAAAGAATTGTATATTTCACTATGGTGTTCATTTTTAAAGTAGTTAATGGTTTGCTGCCTCGATATTTGTGTGATCAAATGGTAAGGGGAAGTGATTTTCATAGATATAATACTAGAAACGCGGTTGAAATAAGAACACCACATTTCTTGACTTGTGCTTCACAAAATTCATTATTTAAAAAGGAATAAATGTTTTCAATTCGATGCCTAGACATATCAAATGTTCAGCAACACTTACATACACTGCATTTCACATGTTAAAACTGTCTTTTTAACAGTTATCCAGTGATTTTTTTTGTGAATTGACAAATTATGTATCTTGACGAAGTTATCTCTAAAGGATTATTTTATATGGATAGCTGTCATAACGACTTTTTTAATAATTATTGTAGCACTGCACTTAAAAAAAAGTAGTCTACAAAGGTTTGAGCCTCGTGCGCGTATTACGGATATAGAGGACTGAATTTAACATTTGATAAAAAGCTTATTTGAAAGATACCATGAGTTAGTAGTAAGTTTTCTGGCAAATGTTGGGGGTTCGTGAGCATTCCTGACATTGCTGAAAATTATGATAACATCAGATTGCGGGGTTGCAAGTGTAATAGGATGCTTTGTTGATTGTTCATTAACTCTTGATTGCGTGTAATACTTATGAATATTTTAGGTGGACAAAAAGGCGAACTAAGAGGTGGACGCCTGAGATTTTCCATATTTATATCGCTGTGAAGCAACTGTAAACTCTAGAGGGAATTTATATCTGTAACTGAAATCAGTTCGATTTTGTTTGCTAACCTGGTTAAAATGTCATATTTAATTATCTTAAAGATAAATTGTCCAGCTCAAACCTTTGTAGAGGTAAAAGGTGAGACCATCATCGTCATTATCATCATAATCATCATCATCATCATCATCATCATCATCATCATCATCATCATCATCATCATCATCATCATCATCATCATCATCATAGTATTAAGTTATATTTGCTCATACATAATCCCCCCCTAGGATGACAGAACTCCGTCCAGGAGGTGCAATCACTCTTCCAACTAGAGAAAAGCTCCAGCTTTTGGGTTGAGATATTTACGCTAGACAATGAACAGAGCTAAATGATTTTAGAACTTGAACAAATTTTCAATTCATGAGATTTAAAAAAATATCTGACTAAGCATCTGGTACAGTCATCATTCGCTAGTTGGGACGCAACCTCGATTGAATGGTTTTTCAGCTGTCAAACTATATTTTTTCATGCAAAACAGCTCACTGGATTACTCATCCTACGTGGTTATGAAACGGATAATTCAACCTACATAACAATGAAATAATGTCAATGTTCGTTCCCCACAATTTCCAGACGCAATAACTATATTTAAGTTGAGACGTCACGCGACTAGCGAACATCAAAAGCTTGGACCATTTAGAAATTATACAAACATTTTCGACGGATTTAGACATTTTTTACGTGTTCAAATCAGCTGATTTTTTTTACAAATTTTGCTATAGATACAGTCGTGTTTCGGTCAAATTTAACATCCTAGAGAAAACAGAAGAGAATGCTGAGCTCCATCGTCACCGTTTTTAGAAGTCGATTAATAGAAATTTGGCTTGGGCCCAGGCGAAAGCAAGCAGTCACTTAAGATTATCAATACATCTGGTGTAGAGGGTGTTTTACCCATTTAATCCGATAATATTTGTTCCCCTTGTTCATCAGCGTAATGCATCACCACATTCACCATCAACAACTTTTTATCAAAAGTCATTATGGTTTCAGTTTGAAAAAGTAGTTCTACCAAACAACCCAGTAGGGCTAATATACAGTTCACCGCCCTATAAACTAAGATGGTGCATCCATGGCGTGCTCAAACTTCGAGGTGCCGTCAAATTATATTAATAAATTACTTGACGAGCACGGTGCACAACAACAAAACACCCTGCTTGTTTCCACCTGACAAGCTCAAAAACAAAAGTTTTCCACCGACGAGAAACTTCTTTTCTAATTAGAAAAGCTATCAGTAACCAGCTTTCAGCATGTAGTTAAACATGTGGTGCGATACGAGTTCCAACGAACAACACCGCGGAGCTACACACAACAACCGAAAGCTACAGGTATGAAATGAAAATGTAGGTACTTCTGACAGCGTTGCTCCTCTTCGCAGTTTTCACCACGCTTTCTCTGACTCCCATCCTCCATCGATCCGGAAATCTCTCTAGAAATTCAGTCTCCCACACGCGCGCCAGCGATTCAACAACCTAGTCATGTTATCTCTCCCTCGCTCTCTGTACCGCCACACGCGATCACTTTTGATAGGGAAACTCGCCTCTCTCTTTTCCCCACTAAATAGGAGCAACTGGAAAAATGCCACCCACCACCCATTTTTCTCATGATGCGAAAATATGCTCCGGGCAAAGTTGGTCGTTTTTTTCCTACGTTTTCCATGCTCACCTAAAGGTACCTGTACCTCGGATTTACCTTCACCGTTTTTTTTTTGTCGGTCTTCTAATAAATTTCCAACGAATGCAACAGTTACTACACGGAGATTCTTTTCTTGTCTGGTTTTTATCTGGTATTTTTCACCTTCTGGCGTAATCTCCTCTGGGAGCAAGCCGAAGTAAATTGAAACAGAATTCAGAGGAAATCAGTGCCAGGTATAAACTGAGAGTTTTTATAGCAGGGGCACAAGAGCAGTGATAAATTGTATCGTTCCATTATTGGAAAATTTGAACCCATACAGACCACCTACCGCGATACTGAGACGATTAGGAAAGGTAAAAAAAAGAAGAAAAGGAGCTGTAAAGTTGGTAAATTGATAATGACCTGGATTTCCTTGTCAATTGAATTGGCTGCTAATGCTCGTTTTGATGATGATCCGTATTGAAAGCAATTATCTCCTCTCTGTTTCAGATAATTCACTTTGTTCAATTCACTTGTGATATTTATTAGGTATTCCTTTTTTTTTCTAAATTTGTCTAATATCGCATCAAATGACCGATTATCGATCACCTCTTTGGTCTTCCACATGAAAGAGCGAGAAAGCGAACGAAATTTCACCCACATGCCACAACATTTGGAAACGATTCACTGGCTTTCGCACGTCATTGGTTTCAATCACTAGGCAAATCTGCTAATTAATCGACGAAATCCGAACCAAAATTTACCGGAAAATCAGCACACTAGCTTCTCGAGCACATGCACACACTAACAGAGAACACATGCTGCTGCCGATTTCTGCTGGATCTGGGATTTCTTCTTACACTTGGCTATTTGCGCAACTGAAAAAAAGGAAATTTTATCCAAATATTCCCCCTGCCATACTATTCTGCCACGAAGCAAGCAAATTCAATTTGAACCAATGTGCGTTAATCGATTAGATCCACTTTTTACAGCAAGGGAATGGATTTTCTACTTGCTTTTCTTCCTGCACAACTGCGCCGGACTCCCTGGAATCCCTTCCCCTAGGGATCTGGGATTGTGAGATTGAATATTCGCACAAAATTCAAAAAATAATATCAGCACCACCACATTTCTGCTAACCGTGAGCCGCGTTCCACCGTTGTTGTCTGCTTGAACTCCATAAATTCTTGCGAAAAACCACAGCACTATACGTACACACACACAATCTCTGAATCACGGATCACTGAACAGAGCCCACCCTCCCCCGCAAAAACGCACACATTTTGGCCATGGAGCTCGCTTCATTGCATTGAATTGGAACTGCTTCTTGAATATTTAATGTACATTATATGTGCTGCTATATGTGTGAATTGCGGACAAACGTAAAGTGATGATGCGCTTCATACAAAAATTCTAAAGAAACTGAGGTCGCTGCCGAACTGGATGGACCTGGCCACCGACCGACCGACAGCCGAGAATCAACAGACGGTCAGCGGTGAGTCGGCGCAGTGACGGGAACCGCGAGAGCGAACCTTCTCAACAGGTTTGTTTTTCACCCGAGCGCCGCCGCTCTGCTCACGATTTTCCAGACGACGCGATCGCTGATCGGTTTCGGATTTACTCTTCTCCTCTCAGCATCCGGCTGGCTAGTGGTGAGTTTTCCGTGCTGACTGGCTGGCTGGTGGCGCGCATTCCAGAGAGTGTCAGTTGTCCGTGCAAAAAATATAGGTTAGGAGATTTGTTGACCTTCACACGTGGCTCTGGGGCTGGCATGGAAAATTACTTACATGTTTTGTCTGGCGGTAGGGTTACAGACGTACCTTCAGCTCAACGTCCTCAGAATACTCTATGCTATGATTATACCAGCAAATATTCAGCAAATTGTATGCCAACGGCAAATACTTAAAATGTACAATCAATTCAAATGATATTAGGGGCTGTATGGACGGTTGTCTACACATATGGGTATACATCAACTGTAAGCAAGGATTTATTACCAATTTTAATGTTCATATCTATCTAACAATTTACCATCACTCTTCTTTAAAAAATGACATTTGTGCTTATAAGAATTTTTCTCAGCTACGGCTTTAACAACCAGAATTAAAACTTATTGACTTGGACTGTTTAGTTCTTCCCTTGATGTTGGCGTTTGATGATGATTTATTAATAATTGATATGGATAGCAGGCTGTGCTTGTGTACGAACGTCACGTTTATTTTTGCTGTTCTAATTTTTTTTTCTCTAGTTGGGTGCTACTCGAGTGATTTTCTTTAGGATATCAAGACTTTGGCTCTACAACTAGAAGTCAAGCAAATAGAGACCTGAAGTTTGTAAAGTGTGAATCTGAACCATGAAGTCTGAGGAGTGATAGTCAAATTGCATGGATCTGCTGTGATTTTGGTCCAGGCTGGTTTCACATTTCCTTTGTGTGACTTCCCGATATTATTATGGAGGTGTGGTGGATCGCTGAACCTATCAAAGGAGAACATTACTCGGGGAATTTCAGACAGATGAACCGGAATGGTTCCTGTCAAGAAGTGGATCATCTACAATTGGGATTGCTACGCTGAAAAGTGGCATAGTTCTTTTTTATCGTTTTTTGTCAGTTTGTACATTGTTTCTGTGAATCCATGTTTGAGGTTGATCATGTGCCCACGGTTTGAGAAAAAGTAGACTGTGTGTGTGATTGAACGTGACGTTTGTTTTTTTTTCGTGGAGTTTTTTTTATGTATAATCGGTTGCTGATCTGGTCAAAACCTGGCCCGGGAGACGAGTTCTAGTTTGTCAGTGAGTTCATTAAGACAGAAGAAGTCCTGCGAGAGCTGCATCTCATTGTATCTAGTTCTACCTCCCTGTTATTTCCCGCTGAGAAGTTTTTCCCAAGACAAGTAGAACCTCCATGAGGCGCGTCCCATCATTCGTCCCATCATTCGTCCCATCATTAGTTCCATCATTCATCTCAGCGTTGAGTCGCAGCGCTGAACCTGAAAATTGGCCACGAAAAGGCTTGCCAATGTGCATACACTTAGATAATTGATGTAAATTTAGGTGGTCTGAGAGCGACATATACGAGCATCAATTTTGACATAAATTTGAGTCATAACAGACACGAAATATAGCTCAATCCATGCTTGGCATACTCAGTTTTGGTCATGAACTGCTCATTTGCTAATAACTTTCCACACAGTTGACAAAACCTAGTTCTGTTTGAAGCAGTAGATAGAATAATGTTTCAGCTTGTTATAGCAACCGGTGAACACTCGTGTTTATTTCTGTTACCGTGGGGACATAATTTGTTATTAGCCCCGGTCCCTTTCAAATTGTATCATTATTTATGTACGGTCCTTAAATTTGAAATGACGTTTCACATTCATCTAGTGATGGCCGATTTTCATTCGAATAATTGATTAATCGATTAACGAACCGAAAAATAAAATATTTGTAATCTGTTATATCATGCCGATATAAGCATTAACTTCTCCAGAGGATCATCAGCCATCGTTTCAAACATGTGCTACACTCTCATTGGTGGAAAAATGGCAGCACAGTGAACAAAAAAATCGATTAGTTGTTAATCGAGTAATTAAAAAATGGGACATCTCTGATTTTGGTGTGTTTGTTTTGATAAAAAAGAGCGAAAAATTTCATCTCTACCGAGGGGGCAGCAAAACCACAAAATTACCTTGAATACGGGTGTGGTTTGTTCGGTTGTTAGAACCAGAATGTCTCTTTATTACGTATCTTGACTTAACCTAAGCTGTATGTACTGAAGGTACCTGAAGTCATTATGTAAAGACGGACCAATCAGTGATCGATGCACTGATTGAGAGAGAGAGCAAAAGAGAGCCCACACAGTCGGCACTGCCGCGCGACGTGTAGCTTGGAAACAGTCGGGTACAGTCATAAATTATTGACCCGGTAAAACGACACTTTCATGGGAAAGTGCTTATGCAAATGCAACGGCCATCGGCTCGATGGGTTGCTGACTTATTGGAAATGAAGTGGGTTTGCTAAAATGTGCGATACACATGTTACACGGGGGGTATTCATTGGATGAAAGGGATCGTGAAAGAGGACACTAAAATAGAAAGTTTTTCTTCCGACAGTTTTATCTTAGTGTTCATCTTTGGTTATAGGTACGTAAGAAAAAGTAGATTTTAATTCTAGTAATAAACTGAATTTGTTTTTGTATGTAAAAATCAAGTGAGAAATGCTTACTGCACATCTCGGACTTTACGTGTTAAAATTCATTGGTGTTGATTCAAATGTTAAGGTTTACCTACTTTTTGCATATTTATAGTAAGCTATGATCCTAATATATCAATAACTTTAAAGAAAAACAAATGTCAACAACTAAGTGAAAAGTTATTAACAAATGAGCATTTGGTGTGTACAACTGTGCATGCCAAGCATGGCTCAATCAAACGTACTTTTCGTCGAAGTTTTCAGTCTCGGGGTACATAATATTACATGAAATGTTTGTTTACGTCTCATATTTTATGTCAAAGATCGATTCTGTTACGTGTATTTTTTTCCTTGATTTATTTTCCGTCGATCTTGTTTTCCGTGCTGAGCACCAATGCTACCGACGCCAGGGAGACAGCTCCCACAGCTGGACCCTACCTTAAAATGTACAAACTCATGAACCGGGGACCAACGGCTTTACCAAAGAAGAATACTAAGATGAAACCTGGGGGCAAGACAGCTTTCGATCATGAGTAAAACCGGAGTTAATTTTGAGTAACTCACGTTGCTCAATATCTTATATACACATAGCATCCTGATTGTTATATTGAAAATAATGTTGAAACCGATGCTGTCAAGCAAAGTAAGCTGACGTGCTTTCTTGGAATTTCTTTGAAGGGACTTTTGGGGTGGTTCGATAGGTAGGGATTAGGCTAAATCAATTCAATAAATTCAATTCTTAAAGCAATATAGTTCACGTTTATGTATTTTTTTAACTTCCAAAAACTCAATGAAAACGTTATTTATACAACTATATAAAAATAATAGAGTACATACAGGCTGCACGATTTTCAAAAAGATAAGAATACAGTGCCTTCCGATTATTGGTAACATATGATTTTTGAATGTTAGACAGCGTTCAGACTACAGAGTTATAACATGTTATAGCGCTATCTTGATGGTGGTTTCTGTGTTGCAATTATTTGACAACCGTTATAACATGTTATAACTCTCCAGTCTGTACAGCGTTTTAGGCTATCTATAAATTTATCGAAAGCTTACTCGAAATTATTTAGGGATTAGACGCTTGATATTATCATTCTTTAGGGATTAGACGCTTGATATTTCATGAAATGTTGTGTTCTGGGCACAACATTGAGGAAATAAATACTGTTTTTGGTTGTTGGTCATGGCATGATTATTAATGTTAAGGTTCAGCAAAGGGTAAATAATTTGTTTACTTCTTTTTGAAATATCCTTCGATATTTATTCACCATTAAATACATCCACTCATCCATGTTAATGAGTCAAACTTCACTGAAAGGCATTCAAGCCAAACACGAACGACAATCCCCGTAAAACCTTCGTGCTGTTAAACCACCACAGGAGCATTTCGTTTGACCACAATTCGATTTGTTAAACGAGCGATTAGATCTGTCAAATGGGCGAACAGATGCTTCAAACGAAATATTCTGTCAGACGATATTTTCTTTGATCAGAAAATCGAGACTACTTTGATCATTTTTGAGTAAATATGAGTAGCTTAAATTTACTCGCTGCAAATATATTTACTCTGAGTACAGCTGTCTTGCCCCCAGGATGAAACAGTCGGAAGAAAAACTTTCTATTTTAGTGTCCTCTTTCACGATCCCTTTCATCCAATGAATACCCCCCGTATGCAAGATAATTTTGTGGTTTTGCTGCCCCTTCGGTAGAGATGAAATTTTGCGCTCTTTTTTATCAAAACAATCACTCCAAAATCAGAGATGTCCCATTTTTTTAAATTATTCGATTAACTTCTAATCGATTATGTTTTGTTCACTGTGCTGTCATTTTTCCACCAATGAGAGTGCAGCATATGTTTGAAACGATGGGTGATGATCCTCTGGAGAAGTTAATGCTTATATCAGCATGATATAACCGATTACAAATATTTTACTTTTCGGTTCGTTAATCGATTAATCGTTTATTCGAATGAAAATCGGCCATCACTAGATGAATGTGAAACGTCATTTAAAATTTAAGGCCGTACATAAATAATGATACAATTTGAAAGGGACCGGGGCTAATAACAAATTACATCCCCATGGTAACTGAAATAAACACAAGTACGGACCAGTTGGCTTTACTTCCCTTCCGAAGGAAGGCGTGATCAGAGATGTTATGCCTCAGAACATCCCGGCGGCGCCGACTGGGATT